GAAACGGCTTACAAAAGGGAAGAACGGAGTAATATCACCAAACACACTGGACTGTTATAATAATACAAGGGTAAGCCTCACCATGGGTACCCTGGGGACGCCACACTGGACTGTTATTAGTCACTGCTAATGAACAGTCAACTGCACCAGGTAATGCAAGGGTAAACCTCACCATGGGTACCCTGGGGACGTCACACTGGACTGTTATTAGTCACTGCTGATGAACAGTCAACTGCACCAGGTGATACAAGGGTAAACCTCACTATGGGTACCCAGGGGACGTCACACTGGACTGTTTTTAGTCACTGCTAATGAACAGTCAACTGCAGCAGGTAATACAAGAGGAGACTCACTATGGGTACCCTGGGGACGTCGTTTTCGTCGCGCGTTTCAAATCATATCGTCGGTTGTTGCTGCAAACACTTTACGGCATAGCTAGCACGAGCCGAAAAACTTTGCATCATTGAGTTTTGAACCATAATAACGGAAACAGTAAAGTTTAACTTTTCATGAGTTCAGTCGAGTACTTTTTCGGTGTAGAAAGCTTCATAAGAAAATAAATCTAAGTACTTCTAAGTGTAGTAACAAACCAGGAGCCCACTTCTTCTTTTGCAGCGTCCCCTGGGGGTGGAGGGGGGGCACTAAAAAGTGACGGGGATGCTCGTCGTTTTGCTTAGGGGTAGGAATTGGGAATTTTCATCTCACTTGGGGTGGCCAGGACAAAAAGCCAATATTTCCCATAGAGATATCAGTTAGGGCGAGATGTATTCATTCTCTTAGGGCTGTGCGTAAAGAGATATCTCAATAAAAAAGCCAAACACCACCAAACTATGTTGAAGTACAGTCTCCTTTAGCGCATCAATAGGCCATTTTACAGTTATGGATGGAAGCGAGGCTGACGGGGACCTTGTTTTGATACAAACCTTTCCGCTTTATTATGTAAATCAAGTTATTCTTACGCTAACTAGTATTTTTCAAGGACAATTTACATAACAAAGCAAAGGGGGTTTGTATCAAAACAAGGTCACCGTCAGCCTCACATTCACTCGAAGGCAAGGGTACTAAGTCCACAACTGTAAAATGGTCTATTCTAATTTCCCGACGTGCATTCTCGAACCCCCACCACCCCCGGCCGGCTGGTATTCAGTAAACGTCAGAGTGCGTTACTTGGGCGTTCCGCTTATTCTTAGATTTCTTTTCCCTCGGAATTCACTTTGTTCTAAAACGATTGTACGATCTAGGACGGGAGTTGGTGTCGAAGCCTCACTGGTCCTTACTTGAACGTTTCTTCAAACAAATGAACACAGCAAACCCTCTTCGGCTGACAATTCGTTGATCTTATGCGCCATTGCCGGAAATTCTACTTTGCTCTCATTGGATGAAAAACCCTGAACATCTGACATGTTGTGACCCAAGGCTCACATGAGTGATGGACTCTTGAGGTTGATGGACTCCTGGTTTGACCCATGATGGTTAGGCGGCGCATGTAGTGTTAACACTAAGTAGTACAAAAATCTCTTGATCTAATCGAACCTAATTTGGGTATCCCCGTGTTTTGGGTGCCTCCGAAACTTAAATCCCTCGTGATGTGGTTTTTCTATTATTTCAGGAGAGTGTTATGGGTATCCCCTTGTATCCTACCGGGATACTAATATCCCTTGTTATTTGGATTGATGTTTCGAGGTACTATCCTTCGCAGCATACCTTGGGTAGCAAGCGTGAACCGTGCAAACACCGTGCCCGCCCCGATCATGCCTGACATTCAAGCTACTCGCAGTAGTTTGTATCTTGGACAGGAAATCCGGCACATAAAATGACCCCGGGTGCTTGTTTTTAGTTTGTCTTACGCGATCGTTGTGATCGCCGGTTCTCGCAATAGCTTCTGTGAGCTGGGGTTCAATGGTTAAGAAACAAAATATCGACAACTCAATTCAATTCGGCTATTTTCGAGTACATCGCAACGAAAACAATAAAAAGACCATTATAAAAAAAATCAATGGTTTTAGAGCCGGTCGGTTTTCATCAGACGTAGGATTAGTATTTTCACCCACATCACCAAGGATTTGAGCGCAGGGTTTTAAAATATGGGGATACTTAAATCAGGGAGACCAAAAAAGGCGGGAAACTCCTCAGATTAGGGTGATACCAAAATCAGGGTGATACCAAAGGCATATTGTAAATACGGGGATACCTAAATGATTGTCGCACAGGTGGTAGTGGTTCATTTAGTGTCCAGGTCTTTTCACTCTTCATCAAATGTGACTCCCTTTTCTTGTAATTCTGCATCTGTAAGTCGGCGAAATGGGCCATACGAGGTCTAATAAAGAAGACAAACAGCAACGGATTAAAAGTAACGTAGAGTTAGTTCGTTAATGACCGTGAAAATGGTAGCCATGATCGTTTTTCGAAAATAATCAGCATGATTGAAAAAGTCATTATTTTAACGAAACGCACACGTGTAACCGTCTTTCTAGAATGAAACAGAGGAATTCCTCGTTTTTTCTAACCTGCGATCAGGCGTTTTCTTTTTCGGAGAAAGTCCTTTTCCCCTTGCCTCCAAACAAAAGGGAAGAAGGCTCGCCTGATCGCAGGTTACGTTTTGTCCTGGTCTTCTTGCACCCTGCGGAAGAATTGAGAGGCTGCTGATGGTCAAAAAAAGTAGAGAGGCTCTTTGTGCAAAGTAGCGAATGCAATGAAAGAATCGAAAGCTTCGCCAGTCCGCCTTATTTCATTACCCCACTTAACTTAAAGTGTGGATGTATTTTGCATGGAAGTACAGTGGAACCTCGATATAACGAACCTCTATATAACAAAGTCCTCCGTATGACGAACGATTTTCTTTACCCCAGTAACAGCAAAATAGATGAAAAAGAACCTCGATATAACGAAACCTCGTTCTAGCGAACAAATTTTGCCAGTCCCTCGGCCCTTCGTTATGTCGAGGGCCCACTGTACTAACTGAGGACACAGTTTTTATGTCTCCTACTGGAGACGGAACCGACAGTTCTACGTCATTGGAGCAACGCAGGAGAAAGGCAGTACCTTCACTGCTTAGTGTTTTTAAGTATTAGTACAGTCACGGTAATCAAACCCGCGACCTCCCGCTGTTACAGTAAAGCGCTCTACTGACTTTCCATGGAGTATTAAAAAAACGCCAGTTAAGGCAAAACAAACCACAACATGCCAAAAGTTGGCTTGAAATACACGGTACAGTACAGTGTATAGGTTGAAACTTAAGCAAACGTGTGCCTTACTTTACTAGTAAAATTGTGTAGTTCCAGAAAATATCCATCCCCCCCCCCCAACGGAGGGCAACGGAAATTCAGAGGGGAGGGCGTGGGGGTCCAAAACGGGGTAATTTCCGAGGGGGTGAGGGGTGGCCTTTCGAGTTTTTTTTCCGAGGTCTGGGCTCCGACTGAGATTGATGAGGAAGCTATCAGTTTTTTTTACTGTTAATCGCTGTTTCAGAGCAAAATTATTGTTTTCATCGATGATTTGGTCGGCTGAGTGCTTTTTTCATGGCTTGTACGATAGTTTAGGTAACACGATTGTCGTTGTACCGCCTCCATGACTGCCGTTAATAATTAACTAAGAAAGACCTCTACAAGACAAAATTCAGATTATTTGACACTGTATTAATATAAATAAAAAGATTTTTTTCTCTTTTTATTCCAGGGATAATTAACATTTTTGACGGAAATATTCTTTCCAGGGGGTACCCAACCAAGTTGGAATATTACGGAAATTCCAGAGGGGGAGGCGGGGGAATATGACAAGCGCCGCCAGGAATGGAAATTCTAGGGCGGGGGGTGACGTGGAGGGGGGTCTAAAACAAAAGTGCCCTGCGTGGGGGGGAGAATGGATATTTTTTGGAACTACACATTACGTGCTCAAGATTTTTATGTCCCCGCTTTACCTTAAAAATTTTTTGAACGGTCTGCAGAAGGTGAGGTAAATGCTACCAAGCTAAATTTACAATCCTTCGAAAATACAATAATAGATTGTTGATTTCGGGAAGTTATGAAATGTCTAATAGCTATTTAAATTTTGACATTTCGTAAGTTGATACTTCGCTGAGCTAATCCCTCAGCAAACGTATTGCTTTAAAGGAAACTAAAAAGACGCTGTTTAAAAATTATAAAAACTTCCTGCCATTGTTTGCGATTTCAGCGTAAATATAAAGTGTAATAATCAAGAGTAATTCTTAAAACTGTTTTTAGCTCCTTTACTAGCAGCTTGACTTTCCATATGGTAAATACAAGGTTGAGTTAACTACAAGGCTAAAGAAAAAAAAACATATCTAAAATAGGTTTTCCCTAGTGATTTCAACGATCCTGTACCTCAGCTCGATCCGGCATATTTTTCAGTGTAAATTTGCACCGCAGCCGAATGATTGCTCTCTTCGCTCTTCCCCCGACCGAACGTCAGGTATAAGAATTGCCCGCCGTTTAATTTACCGTCATTTTTATCCAACGCATCGCTACGCGTCTTCCCGAGATTCAACGTCAAGGAACATGTTTAACCGTGACAATACAAGAGCAAGATTTCAATAGTGTTCTATAACCAAGAAGAAACCGCATTTATTTTTTTTAAAGGAACGGTAAAGAAATCAAAAAACGAAGTCAAAACTTTTCAAAGTGTAATCCACTTCCATCTTGGCTATCTATTAAAGCCACCACAGACACTTATCACTATAATTTTAGTGGACTGATATAGTGGTCTTTTAACAGAACTTGAGTTTGGTCTTGAAATCCATAATTTGTCCACTGACGTAGTAATATTATTAATGGAGTATAATTGCAATCTATTCCACCCTGCAGGACATCTAAAGACAGACAAAATACACTGGCAATTGTTGTCACGACTGGACCACTGTTCGACAAGTTTTCTTTTACAAAAATCAGTGTGTCTTTTTTGGTATGGATAAGAATGGCGACACAGCTCCTTTGAAGAACGCTTCCTTTTCGTCTACCAGGACGTTCCTGGGTATTACGAGCATTAATAATGCAAATAACAAAAGAGAAACTTACATTATAATCTGTACACAAGGACAGATTGTGTTCCACTGATAAAGTGTGCAGCTCAGTCGCTTCTTTCTCTGTCATTTGAACGTTCGTTAGAAAGAGACGTGAACGTCGAGGACCACTTCTGAGACACTTGATTAGTTCAGGCACTCCGCGGCCCAGCGGATTTTTGTTAAGGTAAAGTTCGCCCAGTTTTGGTAGGTACACGAGTGCACGGGCTAAAGCTGTGACTTCCTCTTCACCCATCTGTGTATCATTCAGCGACAGCTGGTTCAGATCATTGTGCAGGTGTTTAGCAAGTTCACTTACTCCGTGACCGAGTGGGTTGTTCGATAAGTCAAGTTTACTCAGCTGAGTCACATTCTTTAAACTATGGGCTAAAGCTGTGACTTCCTCTTCACCCATCTGTGTATCCCTCAGCTTCAGCTGTTTCAGATGAGGTACATTGTGCAGCTGTTTAGCAAGTTCACTTACTCCGTGACCGAGTGGGTTGTTTGATAAGTCAAGTTTACTCAGCTGAGACACATTCTTTAAACTATGGGCTAAAGCTGTGACTTCCTCTTCCTTCATCTGTGTATTTTTCAGGTGCAGCTCTTCCAGATGAGGTACACTGTGCAGGTGTTTGGCAAGCTCACTTATCCCGTGACCGAGTGGGTTCCGTGGTAACGCCAGCATACGTAACTTATCAACATACTTTAAAGCAGTGGCAAGTAACTGACACCCTTGATTCCCCATACCAACATCATATAAATCAAGGTCAAATAGTCGAGGCACATGGTGAAGATTATTCAGTAAAATGACAAGTTCACCAAGTTCACTTGTTGGGTCCTCAGAAATACCGCAAGTTTCAATCTTTCCCAAATATGACAGAGAGTGTATCAGAGTCTGGTCAGATGTTTTCTCAGTTAACTGCAAAGTGTTGCAAACATCATGACTCTGTAACTTGTGATCAGGCTCTTGAAGAGAGGACTCTGGTGCTGATGTAAGCAGTTCAATGGGTACGACTACAATGACAGTTGCACAAAACACAAATCGATGTTCCACTTTCTTAATGAAATAGTCATTAACCCATGAATGGCGGTACGTATTGAGGGATATTACGTCACCAGAACATGTCACAAAAACAGTGTCCAAATCGGACATGACAGAGAAAATTTCATCATCCCAATCGCTTTTACACGTTCCATCAAAAAATACATAATCTGGTTGATGGAAATTTGTTGATCTCAGGCAATGTTCGCTGGAAACTTTAGGCAGTTGTTCGCGTCCTATCAATAAAAGACCATTAACGCATTGCAGAAATGAAGGATAGACATTTTCCCTATCTGAAGCAGGGCAAGAAAGGAAAAGATCGAGATTAAAACGATAAAACTCTCTTTGTTCTTTAGTGAGCTCCCTAATAGAGGGGTTTTCACAAAAGTTGTAATCAGTCAGACCTTCTTTTTCTCCTATCATCTTCAGATGGCTAAAAACAGCAACGGTAGCTTCTGATGACAACTCCCAAACAAATCTGAAAACTTCAAACAGCTCCTTGAACCGTTTAAATGAGTCGACTTTAGACAGAGAATTGAAGGGTTCCTTGGCATTTTGTAAATCACGAACTAAAAACCAGGCGGAAAGGAATTCTTGAACCGATTTATGAAGAAAGAACGCCAGTTTCTCACGATGAGGAGAGTCTGAAAGGTTAGAAGTCTGTAGAAAGCCAAAATCGATAAACTTTTCGAGGAATAGCCGAATGTCCTCAGGCACTTTGCTAAGCTTGAAATAAAGACAGTCATTTAAAAGTGCCTGCCAGGCAAGTTCCCCCAACTTTACGAGGTCTTCTCTGTGTTCATCCATGCTTTTAAATGTCTCATCTGAGGCTTTTGCGGTCACGTGATCAAGCAGCGTCTGACAAAAACTGTTATACACATCTGCGCGGGATGTAGATGGTCCTTGATAACCAGAAACCTTCCAGCTTAGAACCAGCATCAACAACAAAAGAGGAATTTCTGCCAAGTCCCACAGGTCGCGTTTAGCCAAGAAATCTGTGAACTTTATTACTTCTGTTTGGTCGCGAAGAAACTTAAGAGCAAATGTTTTAACTTGCCACCGATCAAACCCATTAATTTCAAACTGAGCATGACTTCCTGGTCTTAACTCATCTTTTTTCCGAGGTCGGGTCGTCACAAGAAGAGTGCAATCTCTCAACTGACTGCCTTTCCAAATCTGATGCACTGGCGATGATTTTTCGGCGCTGTATTCATCATAGCCGTCTAAAATAAGTAGGACTTTCTCTTGGTTACCTCGAATGTAATCATACAACTGACTAAATACCACAGAGTCATCGGCAGACAATAGTTCGGCTTTTTCGAGCATGGCACTGAAGTCTTTCGTGTTGCAAACATCTCGGAGTTTGATTAAAAGTACAACAGCAAACTTCTTTAGTATTTCTTTGTTGCCGCGTGACCAATCCACGACAAGTTTCTTTGTGAATGTCGACTTTCCTATTCCTGGCCTCCCGTACGCTAAAATTCTCTTAGGAAATGGATGATGACCATGCCCTGCAAATATCTCGCTGTAATCTTCAAGCTTTTTTGTTGTTGTTCCAGAAAGTTTTCTGTCACCTCTTAGCAGTGTTAACTGTACATACACCTCATCAATGTCCATGGTATTATTTCGGTCCCACGGAGTAATCATTAACTGGCTCGTGGTACTGTTGTAAAATGAGCACAGCTGATTTTGACTCCACTCCAAAAAAGCAGTCGTATCATCTGTTAATAAAAAAGTAAATATCTTAACAATTAAGACCCTTCCACTGTTTTTCAACTTTTGACTGGAACCAGTTAGCGAAAATCCATAAACACGACTCGAAAGAACGCCTTGAAATCAGTAAAAATACCAAGTTTGAAAGTGATTTGTTGAAAACTAACGAAGGGAGCAAGTTCGTGCCCCCCAACACAGAAATGTGTGTAAAATTCCAGGACTTTGTGGCGGAATATCCTTACTCCCTTTGGACGTGTCACCTTTAAACTTGGTAAGTTACCTTATTTTAAGCCCTTCCAGCAGTTGGAGTATTTTTTGGTTTTGGTGGAGGGGGGGGGGGGGGGTAGCTACAGTCAAATCAATGAAAAACAGAAATGATCTGATCTCTATGAGGAGATGTTGATGCCTAAGCCCTTGGCAATTTAAACGTTATGTCCTCTTTCCCCGGTGACCACTGGTGGAAGTCAGGTGGTAGATGGGAAGGAGGATTCAATGCTGTACGCAAAATGCATACATGTATGCAAAAATGCAGTTACTTTTAATCCGTTAATATCCAACTGTGTTGTTGCTTTTGTTTTGTAATGTAATTCCGTTGCTAAGACTCTGTAAGTTAAGGGTGGATATGGTTAATTCATTTCACAAGTATAAGTTCAGTGAAGTTGCTATATTATAAAAAAAGATTGGATAGCACATTAGGGCACGAAGGGCTGAGCAAATGACTGAAACTACTACATCAATTAAATATAACAAGTCAAGACAAAGAATCCTCAGTAAATGGCAGAGGCATCTTACAAGCGTTGCTGAGATTTGGATTTGGGACTACTGTGAAAAAATCCATCTAGCGAAAAGAGTGGGACTTGAAATGAGTGGTGCAGCACCGTCCAGCACTCTTCGCACTTGGTCACGCTGCCTCCTTAAAAAGGGAGAACTAAATAGGTGGGGAAAGGAGTCTGAATGGAACACTTTGGTCAGTGGAAAAATACTCATATATTATAAGAACTTAAGAAATAATTTTTTTGTTATGAGAGGTGTGGACGGGAGCATGATTCCCTTAACTGTGTTTGGACCTATGACTGGAATTTTGTCCAGATATACTGGCTATATATTGTACAAAAAACTACATAACAGTTTCCAAAAACCATGACAAACGGAAATAAAGGAGGGAGGAGAAAATGTGGAAAATGCATTTCAGACCAGCTGTGATGTGCTGGCTAGCTCGTAAATGTAATCATTAGTACTTTTTAAAAAACGAGCGAGAGTGTGTTATCAGGTCCAAAAAGTAGAGATGAAGCTGAGAGATTTTAAACCTGATAATACGAGACTGCAAGTTTTTTGAACGGCTTCAAAATCTCTGATATAGATCAACTCATTCTTGCACTACTATTTAGATTTGGGGTTATTTGGGTCTAAAAAATTGGACATAAAGTTTAGCTTGCCTAGTCCCTATACTGTCTTTTCCCAGTCCCTCTCGGTCAATTCACTTCAGTGACGTATTTGAGGCGAAGGGTGGACCACGTGACCCAAAAGGCTTTGGCCGCACAAAATAATGAGGCCTAGGGACTAGGCAAAAGTTTAGCCATGTCTTTATCAGATGTAACGACACTCATTAAACATTCATTTCTTTTGTGAAAGGTTTGAACCCAAGAGTCATTTCATAAAAAGGTTTAGTATGATCGTCTGGTTGAATGTAGTCCTGAATAGGACTGTTTTTGTTGACAGTGACTGATGTTTCAACGACCTGTAGTCATCAGTGGCGGATCCAGGGGAGGAGCCTGGGGGGCCTGGGCCCCCCTTACTTTTCGACCAAAAAAATTGGAGACTGGCCCCCCCCCCTTATCTCAGGGTCTGGATGACTGCCCCCGCCCCCCCGGCCTTTATCTAAAGGTCTGGATCCGCCACTGGTCATCTTCAGAGTCAAAGTGAGTTGTATCAGGTCAGTTGATACTAGTATCAACGACTCACTTTAGAAAGCTGGTTTACTAACTTAGAACAAACGCCACTGAATAGTAGTCAACAGTTACTGGCACCACACAGATGACTTATTGACGGACTCAAGCAAAACTAACTACGAGAGAACGACTGGACAACTGACAATTCATTTGACTGACAAATATAAACAACTGTTTAACTGTAACAATTCAAATAGACGGATCGAAACCCACCAATTACTGATTACGAGTATTCATAGCCAATGACGTCACGGCTTAACTGAGAGACGAGCCATAACATCGCAACTTAATTGACCAATCAGGTCAATAACCAGAGTTTAATACTATCAACTGACGTGATACAACCCACTTTGACTTTGAAGATGACTACCGCACAGGTTGTCGACAATACAATATACGATCACCCGGACGATCATACTCAACCTACTTATTAATTTATTTTGTTTTTCTTTATGAATTACTAATGAGTTTTTGAAGGTACTTTACTGTGATGTACATTTAACATCAGTACCTGGAGGACAAGGTAACTGTTCCTTTGATCTGCTGGCAGAGCACTGCTGCGATAAATCTGCAATAAAAAAAGATTGCTCACTTTAATGCAAAAAATACAAAAATAACATGCCGTTAAGTAGAAGCTAATATACTTCAGGCTTGTGTGTACTCTGAGTTGTGATTTACATGTATGTCAGAAATGAAAGATAGCCATGTGAATGTTGTAGTTTCATTTAAGTACATTATGCAGGTTCAATATCATTCTTCCATGAGAATAATTGTCCTCAAAAGCACTGTTAGACTACGAATAGTCCCCCATTTTTCCTCAGGGATAGTAGAGCGAGCAAAACGCGCGCGCGTGAAAATCAACCCACGCGAGAAAAGGCGACACGCGCCTTTTCTCGCGTGGGTTGATTTTCACGCGCGCTCGCATTTTGCTCGCTCTACTATCCCTGAGGAAAAATGGGGGACTACTCGTAGTCTAAAGCACTGTTGACAGTGACTGTTGTTTCGACAACCTATGCACAAGTCATCACCAAGTTTGTGTGAATCAGTGTTTGATAGTGTACACCAGAAAATGACTTATTTTAGGAATCTTGGGCCCGTTTCTCGAAAGTCCCGGTAACTTTTCGGGCCCGAAATCAAATATTCAAATCGAAATGTAAAGAATAAGAGCGAGGGTCCTGGCTAGCAAACTACTCCATTTTGTTTCATTAACTGATAGTTTTATCATGTTAGATGCAAAACTATTGAAACCTCTATCTTGCACGTAAACCATAACAGCTTTACTGGCCCGTTAATTATCGTGACTTTCGAGAAACGAGCCCCTGTCCTGTTTACTGACTGAGAACAAACACCACTGAATCAAAGAGTAACACAACATGTATAGTAAAATAATGTTTCAAATTAGCTCTTATTTTGCTCCAGTTATGAACCATAACAAAATTTGCTTAAAAGTGGTCAAACCACCAGAGATTAAATGTGGCTAAATGGAATTTAGGCTAAGTTAAACGCGAGACAATGCTGGCCAGCAGTCTCCCGCACTAATTGTATCTGGGGTGGTTTCAGGGTTTAGCAGGGCCTTAGTGATTTTACAGTGCTTTCGCAGGAGTCAATCATTTTGCTCTCGTTGCCTTTGCGTGCAATAGCTATAGTTGTTTTTTTGCCCCCAACCTTCCCTCCTCTCTGGATGCTGTTTTGGCAAGTATCTGCGCCTCTCTCCACTGAGGTTCTCTGTGTGACAGTGCCTGGTGGGTGCCACTCTCAGGGTTGTCATGGTTACCCTCTAAGATCGCTTGCCGCCCCCTTCCGCTTCTTCAGGCACCTTCTCCACACCCATCTATTGTCGATGGGTTTAACACAGGATCAAATTTAAAGTTTTAGCATTTTGGGTGCGACATACTCGCAGTATACTGTAATATTATTAGGGAGTGCAAGCCTTACCCTGGTTCAAAAACAGGAAAAATAAAACAGTAAGAATAATAAACCACATGCAAAATGATTTATTCAAGTATTACTACCTTGATAATGAGGCCATGAATGAAAAACACAAGGATCATTCAAAATGTGTGCAACAAGAGATGCTGCCATCACACTAGCACAGGAAGACCAACTCTCTGAAGCCAACTGAGAACCATCTGCATAATCAGCTATCCCTTTTACAATTAACCACTCAATTTGACAGTCAAATGCTGCTGTAAACAAACCTGTAAAAAAAAATGGCATACATATGTATGAACAGACAGATCTATTTAAAATATATAACATTGGTCAAACTAGCTTGCCATAAGGAAACACTGAAATACAGTATGTGATTACATTTTACTTGCAGATGGATTATTTCCATTTCTGTTACACTTTCTCTTATATGATGCTGATATTATTTGAAAACAAACCAAAGAAACAAAGCATCTTCTAATAAAGACTGGCAGCTTAAAAACAGTCAACTCACCTTCTCCTTCATTTTCGATTGCCATTGCCTGAGGATTGGTTTCAGCAAGTTGATCACGCCGCCACTGAACTCTGACTTGTTCTGGCCCACTCACAAACTCAGCATCAGTAAAAACTTGAACATGCTGTGCTTCAGGGTCCATCAGAGGTGCTTGCCAGCCATCAGCGCTATTCTTAATGACATCTAGGAAGCGTTTGCTCACATAACTTCTCATACCAGTAGACTGCTCTTGATTGCTGGTCACTACCTTTGATGCATATGTTGCTATTTTGGCAGATACAACAACATCTCCTAACGTGGATTTTGCAGGGTTGAGGCCACTACATGTTCCTACTGAAATGACTGCTTTGGGTCCTAGCACAGAGGCAGCATTCTTTACAGATACAAGAGCACCACCAGGACCAATACCATTTCTGTAACATCTTAATAAAGCAACTTTCAGCTCTTCTTGACTTTCACCCACATCAGAAAAGTAAACATAGCCAAGACCATCAAACCAACATTTGTAGGGGTTTTTTAGCTCACTGTAACAAGCTAAGAACTCACAGTTTGTAACTGTAAGCAACAGAATATCAACAGGAAGATCAGCATCTTTTGATGGTTTGGTTATTGCCTTAATGTCAGCCAAGGATGGAAGAACTTTGTTAAGCTCAGGAGGGTCCTCAATGTTCCTTGTTGCTGTTCTTTCTTTCTTTCCTTTCTTGTTATTCTTTCTTTTTACTGTGGTTCTTTTGTTCTTTGAATTGTTTGAAACATTCTTTGAAGAAGATGGGAGACCAGTGGTAAGCTGGGGTGTATTACCATCACTATCCTCTGATGTGTTTGTTGAATCCTGTGAAGATTTTATTTTCTTGGATCCTAGTACAAGAAAAAAAAAACAGTAACTTATAACTAAATAAGGATTATTAATAAATTAATGTAATTAGAGTCAAAACCTTGCTTTACGGACACCCCCTTGATGTGAACACCTCATTATTATACAGACAGATTTCCTTGTCCCTTTCAGGCTATTAAATTTTTTCAAAATTTAAAACTAACCTGCTATAAATGTAACAGGCATCCTTTTAACACAGATCAATTGGGTATGACTGTAAATGTAAATGTTATCGGTTTACTCATGAACTTGCAGGTGCTCATACGTTCCATGTTGAATTGGAATTTAGAATTGTTGGGAAAACAGAAGTATCCAGAAAAAAAAACCTCTCTGCTAAGAGCAAGGGCCAGAGAACCAACAACAAACTCAACCCATGCCCCACATTATGGTGTCAATGTTATACATAAAATCTGTTAACACATTAAACCACAATACCACTTTTGCCAGTAAGGTCAATTTTATTGATAAGCAACGAACAGTAATTGAATTGGTGCCCCAGGTGCTAAAAATCTTTATGGGGTTGGAAAGGGTGGAACACCAATCCAAAGGAACTCAAAGGGAGGCTCTTGTTTACAGGGGACACATTCTTTATTTTTCAGAATTTCACCCTAAAGATAAAATTCATCTTTGTTTTAAAATTAATAAAGAAAAGTCACAACATTCGCCATTTGCACCTCTCCCATATAATACACCTTGTTTGCCCCTAAACCTTTGCATAAGCTTTGTTTTTTATTCCTTCTGGGTTGAATTTCATTGGTCCTAAGAGAAATTACAGGAAATGCTTATAAAAAATTTTGGGGGACAAACAAGGTGTATTACTTATAGGAGATGTGAAAATGGCAAATTAGTATAGGTACAGTGTAATGTTCAGTCCTGCATTATGGAATTCTCTTCATGAAAACGTTTTATAATGTGGTCAATTCTATAATTTGCTGTGCAGAGGTCGAAGCGCTTTCTTCGATCATCCTGAACTCTGAATGAGTACAATTTGTCTTGCAATTAATTGTGAAACTTGCATTCCTACATTCTATTTGCAGTCTGTATGATAAAAACACTAGTGTCTCATAGTACTGTTTACCTCAAATTTGACGTATAAAAAGTATAAAAGGCTGGTTTCAGACATGCCACCAGATTTAATTTGTTGGCAAGATTTTGTACAGTAAACTTGTTGAACGCAAAAAATTCGGCCCAATTTTGTTTTCCAAGAATTTGCTGAGGCCTAATCTACTGTGATCAAGAGCCATTATGAGTAATGTGATCAAAGATGATTGCTATTTTTGGGGGTGCACATACAGGCTATTATTCATTTAAGGCCATATAAGATTTGTTTCACTCTTGAACTGTTTGCAAATTATTACTTCGGCGGAGCGCGAAGTAAAGTTACCATTTTTTGACAAGATTGGGCATGCAAAATCTGTACGTTTTCGGTTTTATTCGGCTATTTGACGAAGTGAGAGCCGAATTAGTTCGAGATATCTCGAGATCACTTCGATTTCTTTGATTTATTCTTTAACTTTTTCGAGGAAGAAAGAATTATTATTTTGGTTTCCCCGGGGTTTGAACTGACTCGTCCGTGTGACCCGTCAGGTCAGAGGAGACTCTAAGTTGAGGGATTAGCCGATTGCGCTTCCAAGGTAGTTTGGAATATGAAAAATAGTTATGAAATTATGCACTAGTTTCGGGGCAAGAATGGGCGTGCTAGTTCGCGACTTTTCGGCTTGTTTCGGCTATTTCACGAAATGAAACCGGACTACTTTGTGATATCTTGAGATCACTTTGAGTTTAGTCTTTAATTTACTCGAGGAATAAATAGAGGATATTACGTGGCCGCGCAGAGACACGAAATTTCTCTTCAAGTGTTGAAAAACATTTCACGAGTGAGCCCTCCTTTCGAACTGCTTTATGATGAATTTAAAGTTACAAAATGCTGCGCAAAGACATTTTGTGTTTGTTGAGTGTTACGTAGTAAAATTGCTTTCATATGCGTTGCGTGACTTTCTCGAACGTTCTCTACTTTTTTAGATTATTTATGAATAATTAATTAGGGCATGTTTACATTTCAGCATGAGTCAGGAGATTTGCATCAGTTACTGAAATCATAAAATATGTCGAAAAGCTACTACTATTCGCCCGTTTATGTCAAACGGTATACAAGTTCCAAGCGAGGTCTTTTGACGAACTAAGTTTTTTTTCCCACGAGCTGGACTGCTGTGTTTAGTCAAGTGTAACGAAGGTCGATTTTCAAGTTCTGTGTTTACAAGCTGGCGGAAGCCGTAAGATATCTGAAGTTCAAGTGAGAGTTTGTTATTATTGGTAGAGGCTGTTTAGTTGTACTTAAGTTCAAGTCAAGTTTGTGTTGGCGGATGCTGTGTTTTAAAGCTCTGAAAAAGCTATGTTCCTTTGGTATTAAACTTCCTTGTGTTAATCCGTCATTCCTGCGTGCTGATAGCCAGTGAATAATCATGCTCAAAACATTCGAACTCGTAACAGCCAATTCCATGCTCAACGTAATTGACTCCTTACCCATGCCTTACATATCTTTAATCAGTACATGAGACTGCTATGCTGTTTTTGAAGCCTGGTGTGGCTAAGAAAAATAGAGAATTCTTTTTTCACTGTTTGTTTTGTTAGACTTGTTATTCACCGCCAGTAACCTCATATTTGACTTAAGTCTAAACGTTTAGACCCAAGTCAAATTTAGAAGGATTTGTATGGAGTCATCAGAGCATAACTGGGCTAATATCTCAGAGACAATTTATTGCTAATTTATGGCAAGTAGGCCTCTTGGACGTTGCTCTTTTCAGAATATCCTGACAAATCCCATAATTTCAAAAATTTACACCTTACTCTTACCATATTTCATTTCTTACTATTCCTCCGCATTTACAATTAATCAGTTCCACAACCACGACGCCGAAGTGTACGCTCCTTAGCGTCTTGTTTTTCTCTAAAATCACTTCCCTCAAAAGTCAAATGAATGTGCCCTAAAGTTAACTGATTTGTGGATTACAAGTTTGTTGCTTGATTAAACTATCAATTTAGTAAAAAGTGCTTCGTTTTTAGCCCTGGCTAAATCTATTTCGTATATACTAAAACAGTGGATAGTGTTTTTCGCGCGCTCTGATTGGCTACTCAATCAGTGAATATCCTGCATTAGTATATACACACTCAGTGATCTTGGTGATTTAAGCAATCTGATTGGTTCGCTATCTCGGACTATTCAACAATATTCACCTCCTAGCGAGTGGATAATGTGTGAGCTCGGTGTTTTTCCCGTTTTTTTTAGAGAACGATCTTTTAAAAGTCGACAAAATCCTAGGGCTGACTTTTTTTAAGGCAAGAAAAGACTTGGAAGGATTCAATACGGCGTTTTTCAATTTACTGTAGCAGGAGTTTTGTGCTCGATGGATTGTTTACAACTCCCGTGTATTCGCGTAGAAGAAGCCGTTTCGTGAACTCAGCGTTTTCTAAGAAGAAAATTTTGGCTCAAAAATCGAAGTTTATTTATGACAAACAAATTTAAAAGGAAATGTTTGCAGAAATTCTACATTTCAAGTAAACAGGAAAAAGAATGATACAGGAAGACGACCTCTTACCTCGAGCAACCGAGCCGCCATTTTTGTCAGCACTTCATGCGAAGAACGACACAACATGCCCTTTTGGCTATAAACTTGGCGAGTCAACAGAAAACAACACAGCTCTACTTTTTTTCTCAGGTAAGGAAACAGTTCAAACTTTTAGCGATTCCATTGAAGCCATTACGCTGTTGTTTGCGAAATGAGTAAACTTGTGAATTGCCATGTTTGAAAATTCTGCAAAGATCTATTTTTAAACTTACGCGTGATTTGATCTGTCAATCAAATCCTACTTCTGAATGGTTTCCTTTCTGATTTTGTTGAGATCACTTCGTGTGTATATACTAAAACAATTATTCTTCTCAATCTCGGTGAATAGTGGCTTTGGGAATATTTACCTCGCCGCTTTCGCGGCTCGGTAAATATTTTGCCACTATTCACCTCGATTTCAAAGAATAATTGTTAACTATTCACTGATTCACCTCCAGTTCCTCCGAGCGAGCGACGCCAAACTCGCGTAGGTTGCGAGCAAAAATGCTTTCCCGGTTTGCTGCCGTAACAAACTAAGAAATTTCACAACTAATAAAGCAAGCTATTTCCGAAATACATGAAGAAGGTGACGAAGTTCGGTTTGGAAGTTTTAACAGGTAAATCTTTGTCTTTTTGATTTGAATAGTTATCGATAAAACCGGTGAAAAAAGTTTTTTGTTTACAAATGCAAATTAAGCTTAAGTCTTAAGTCTTTATTTAGTTGACTTGTTCATAAATAAGCTTAAAACTAAATTCAATAATCTTTTTTACAGAATTATTTTAAATACAAACAGAATTCACATGCAACTCCTTTTGAAAAAAATTTCCCACAAGAGCTAAACAAACGCCTTCAAAAGTTTTATTTGTCTCTAAGTAAAAGCGACGACCGCGGCCGTTCGGTCATCGCGCGCCAAAATTGTAATCGTTGGCAACAGTAAATGAGTTAAAAATCATCATTTTGTGCTCAATTATCTCACTGTTTTAGTTATACTAAAACAATTATTCACCTCCGCTTCGGTGAATAATTGTTATATATTAGGCTGGTGTCTCTTTCAAAGACAAAAATGTTCTGGTACCCTCATATCACCAACCAGCGTGACCTTCATCAAAGTGAAATAAAGATGGTGTAGAATACCCCAAGTGTAACTGGTGAACAGGCAAGGAGACTGTCACCACTGACAACCAAGTGAAGAGAAATCTGACATCAATACTGTAAATCTGTCAATGCTGAGACATTTGACCAATCAGAGCATGATAGCAGAATCTCATTTGGCTGCATTACAGGCTGTAAGGCTCCACCCCTTTTTCTCCTTTCCCAGCCATTCAATTTGCTTGCTTCACTCCAGGATTTATTCTCCTCCATAGGGGTGTGCTCTAGCAGAGCCCTGGCACCTAACTTTTGTTCTTGGGCGACTAGAAAATCACAGTTTTTTCATACAAATCATATGCTGGGCACCCTGGATTTTACAGGCTCAGAGCACTGGACTCTCTTCAATTTTCCTTAGAGCACAGCCTTGATTAGTATGCATATTTTCTTTCCCAACAGAGGGGTCTGGTCCCAGGCTATGATTGTGAATTTTGTCCTACTGCAGGGGTATATATTTCATGGCGGATATACAGTGCATAAATTATAATTCAGTAAGAATTATGTAATGGAGTGGTGACCAATTAAGAGGGCTGGGGGACATATATTCAATATTTTTAGCCTAAACTGGGTGATTAAATTACCTTTTTCAGCTGAGTCTGCAACCACTTTTAACCTTCTCTTTCTTGTTTGCATGATAGCAAATTGAGATGACCCATCAAGAGCTGGTGAACAAAATCAATATTTTTTTAAAAATACTACCTGAAACAGAAACCAAATACAAAGCAAATACAAAGTCCTAAACATTGCAATGCCCAGTTGATGAAGTACTGTGAAAGATGACAAGAGATTTATTTGTCATGAAATGCAATGTGAATACTGAATTATATGTTAATTCACTGAAGTAAAATACAAATCTGAGAAGACTGAAAGTTAGTGTTATAGAACATATACCTGTAAAGATCGCTGTCTTATTCAGATCAGGTTGCTAAACGTTTCTTTGATACCAGGATTTCACATCTCTTATTTCTCCTGAATTTATCTGTTGTTATCCGAGGGAAAAACACAAAAGAACGCTACAGCTATGGACAAAAAAATTATGCATGCAGGTATTTGGAATGTGCATTTTATGTTTCAATCATTTCGAACTTCAACATCAACCCCCCCCCCTTAAGGCAAACCTTGGCCATCTACCCATTACTGAGTCTTGTACAGCCTCACTTAGTTTGAGAACGGCAGACGTTTCTTTCCGTTCATCATCGCCCCTCAGCGGCGATAAGCTAGAGAAACGCCTGCCATTCGCAGGCTAAAAACCTCAGTGAGTGGGGAATTTGACCTGTGCTTGGGTTGGGTGTGAATTTGAACCTCACGTGACAAGTTAATTTCCTCTTATGATCAAGTGGTTCAATACACCGCATTCACAAATGGCGGACACGAGGAAAAAACTGGTGCCTGAAAGCGAGGGCGCAGGATAAACAAAAATTGAGTGTTTAGTACGGATTCCACCTAAAATAACTTTGTACGGACTTCTTTTTAAATACAATTACGTGGGATGTCTTCAGCCTTTAAAGATTAGTACTGATTTTCTGTTTGCAATCAAAAAAGGGACGCCAGATACATTCAAGGAAACAGGATGATTTTGTAGGTTTCTGAAGCTGCATCAGAAGCTCGCTATTAGTCACTGCTAATGAACAGTAAACTGCACCAGGTGATACAAGGGTAAGACTCACTATGGGTACCCTGGGGACATCACACTGGACTGTTATTAGTCACTGCTTATGAACAGGCAACTGCACCAGGTGATACAAGGGTAAGCCTCACTATGGGTACCCTGGGGACATCACACTAGACTGTTATTAGTCACTGCTAATGAACAGTCAACTACACCAGGTGATACAAGGGTAAGCCTCATTATGGATACCCTGGGGAAGTCGTTTTAATTCGCGTTTTTCTATCAAATCGCCGGTTGCTGCTGAAAACACTTCACAGCATAGCTAGCACGAGCCGAAAAAACTATGCATCATTGTTTTTGAATCATAACATCGAAACAGCAAAGTTAGCTTTCTTGAGTTCAGTCGAGCACGTTTTCAGTGTAGAAAGCTTTGTAAGAAAATAAATCTAAGCACTTCTAAGTTGAGTAACAAACCAGGAGCCCATTTCTTTTGAAGCGTCCCAAAGGGGACCACACATAAAAGTGACGGAGAAGCTTGTAGTTTCGCTTTTAGGGTAGGAATTGTGAATTTCGATCTCATCTAGGGTGGCCAGGACGAAAAGCCAATATTTTTTCAGATAAAGATATCAGTTAGGCCAAGATGTGTTCATTCTCTTAGGGCTGTGGGTAAAGAAATATTTAAATAAAAAAGCCAAACACCACCATACTTTGTTGAAGTACAGTCTCCTTAAGCGCTTCAATTCTAATTTTCCGACGAACATTCCCGTCCCTATTTTATGGGAGTCTAGCACCCCCGCCTCCTCCCGGCCAGCTGGTATTCACCAAACGTCAGAGAGCGTTGCTTAGAAGTTTTGCTTATTTTTAGATTTCTTTTCACCAGAATTCACTTTATTCAAAAACGCTTCCACGATCTAGGACGCAAGTTGATGTCGAAGCCTCATTGATCCTTACTTAAACGTTTCTTCAAACAAAATAAACACAGTAAACAGGAGAAAGTGAACAAAAGGAAAATGGGAGAGAAAAAAAGGCGCTCGTATGTTCTCATGCCCCCTGGACACCCCATAATACTTTTTAAGTCTAACTTATTCAATATGGCCGCCGTAATCTGTAAAAAGGTCTATTCGATTCATTTGTTCCTCAGGAGAAGCATTGGAAAGTCAAACTACTAGGACATTTTTTACCACTATCTTGGTCTAGTAATTTTTAAAATGAGACAGGGATTTGAGAAGGCCTGGGGGGTTACCGAGTCACGCGATCCGGATCGATTATTTTTAGGGTCCATTACAATAAATTGTTGATGCTTTCACCGTGCTGTTTTCAAAAATGCGCAAGGATCCATTTCACGCTAAGACTAAACGTAGTGGATTCAGAATGATGCCCTTATCTTCCGAAATGAAAAAAGTTGATAAGTAAAGGATCGTGATTGATAGTTTACCTTCAGAAATTTGAAGAATGTGTGCAGCAGAAAATCAGCAAAAATGAGAAATCGAAGAAAGCTGTGTCAGTCTTCATTATTTTAGGTGCACGCTACACAGTGATACGCTGAATATGAGAATAAAGTCAACCCATAATTTCCAGGATTAACTTAGGAAAAACGCGGAAATACCTATGCGAAATCTGAGAAAGCAATTCAACTTAATACGACTTCCGCCTTGTGGGCACTCTCCTTGGCTGTGATTAGCTGCAAAACTGCAATGTCAAAAAAAACACTCCAAGATACTATCTTTGATTTCTTGAATAGGTATTCTGAGCTTTGGGCACTACTTTTCAGCAAATTATTGAAAGAAACCGGTGAATCTGAGAATCTTCTGAATCTTACGGTCGGCGAATTTCGGGTATCGCTGGAATCGCCTCATCGGAGGAAAGTACAGAGAATTTTGGAATCCCCTATAATCTTTTTGGTTTTTATATTCGGCAGGTCATACTGATTCAACAAATTTTAGTATTAAAGCTAAGCTCTTACGTAAGCAATTATAATTCCACCCACAGTGAAACCTAGAATAGCACTCATGTGTGTAGCTTATGTCAACAGATTTCAACACCAACAGACCTAAAGCCTTTTTTGCACGGTGAACGACCAATGTTTCAAAGCATTCGAGTGAAGAACTGAGTCAAGTTTACTGGTTTCATGGGTTAGCCGAACCAAGGCTTGAGTAAGCAACTGATTTGCATGTATCATCTATCACGCTTTTCCGCTTTGCCGTTTGCTTTCAGACCCCCCAATCCGCCTCAAGGTACGGAGCAAATGGATACCAGAATATTAAAGAGAATGAAACATAAAAATGACCACTTAAAACATTAAAAGAAAGCAAGTAACACAGCAAATGCAAAACGAGGCACGAATTGACAAACTTGAAGAAGATTAAAACGTTGCGGTGTTTAAAAACTTGCTGTTAGTCTAACAGTATTCCAAAGGTCATTTCTGTTGTTTGTAACTTGCAGTTTCATATCATGATTTGGCAGAAATTTTTGTTTGACACGAAACTGTGATTGTGTCAGTTACATGCAAGTTAATTCGTCGCAAACGGAAGTTTTCCTTAGCGAATAAAGACGCATTACTGGCACTGAATATTAACGCAATGAATTAGACAGCGTAGCCGTGACACAGTCCCTTTAACCACTGTTGCAACAGAGAAACAAGTTGCGTTATACATTTACCTTTTTGCGGTATGTGGGATACGATTGCAGCTCAAGTGTTAGCCAAACATGACTGTGGAATGAATGAAAAATACGGAGACAAGCTCACGTTGGCTTCACTGCAACCAGGGAAATGGAACCAACCATTAACCTGCTGAGAGAAAGCTGCATTCTTTTGTTATTTGTATTCATGGCCTGTCTTTTAGTTGTGGTCTCCTAAGTACAAACAATAGATTCCATCATGCGGATGAACGAATTTTCATCCTGTTTACAACTTCGCCATCGATCGATGACAACTCAGATTTTTAGTCCACGATCAACTCAGGCACATTCCCTTGGTTTCTCAAAGCAAACCTCTGCCTGAAACCAAAAACTGTGTTATATGTTTTTCGTTTCTTTTTCTCTCTGCATTTCTTTCTTTCTTCTTTTATGTTTTCAGTTTTTCTTTTGTTCTTTAACATTCTTCTGTAAACTTTAAAGACAATTTAGAAAACATCAGTTGGCTAGAGAGATCAACAGCCGAGTGTTAGCGTAGATAAACGACTACGAATGATCACTTCATCTTAAATTCCTTACATTCTGTTAAGACGTCAGAGACAGGAATACAAGTAGGAATATTACGTCAAAACAAAACATTTAACCACTTCTAAAAAATGCACAGTGTACGTTAATTGATGATCTTTAGGCCTTTGGCACCGATGCATAACATCACATTCTCAGTTTTTATTATTTCCAATCACAGAAGAGGTTTCTTGGCTAATTGTGGTCAAACGGAAACAAAACCGAGAGTTCAGATCTTGAGCCAAAATCATTGGCTAATCCGTTAGAAAAACTCCAACAACACTGTCCGACGTCGTAAACCTCATTTAAGCCATATGTTCACAAAAGTGGCCCCAGTTGTTGAAAAGGTAGATAGCACTATCCGACGGATAGACAGCTTTTCTTGTTTACGTAAAAAGCTATCCGATGTAGTATGAACACCAGTTTATAATCATTTTACGCAAAAGAGTTGTAGGCCAACATCTCCCAACATTGTTGGATATTACATGTTGAGTGCGTTTGCACACCCTGTTGCATATTCTTGGGTGTCGTGAGAGTTCTTGCGCAAAGTTTGAAACCGATCAAACTTTTAGCTACGTGCAATGGACGCAACAACTGCCAAGAATATTGGGAGTTGTTAACCTATCCGATATATGATGATCCACTTTCAAATCGGTGCGGCACCGCTTTGCTCCGTTACAGCTCGTCTGTGAACAGAAGCTCTATCCGACATGGTCTTAATGCCGGCGCAAACACTATCTTGTATGGCGTAGACTAAGAAATATAGAAAACATTCCACGCATACTTTAAGCAATTGTTTGGAAGAATTCGTGGCCGATTTTTATTC